GCTAACCAGATGTCCGATGGTATGTGCAATAAAAGAATCTGTGAATGCAATTGGAAAGAGGCAAAAAAATTATACCGGGTCTTGGTCGGGCATTCCGTCGAATACCAAGCCAACATTGCCCGATGCATTTGGAGCACCACCGAGTGGGCCATCATGTCCACATCGGGGACGGCTTGTGAAAAGCTCAAATCCAGGATATCAGCCCCCTGGGAGGGAAAACGGAGTCGAGCTCCAGCGACAAGTTGTTTGTCTCCACGACCACGACCGAGGGATTGGCCTGTGTCAAGTCCATGTCCTCAGCAGCGGTCAACAAGGCCGCATCTGCAGCTGCCTTCTCCGCCGCCTCATGCTCGCGCTGCCTCCGGTGGTGCTCCTTCCGGGCAAGGTTCTCTGCCTTGCAAGGATCTGCCACCAAGCCAGGGAGCCTGACTGATTCCGCCGAGGCATCATCCGTGGCCATGGTGACAGACAGGATCGTTGCAATGACATCAGCGAAGGCAGACGAAATGGAGGAGGGAGGCAGGACGAGCTCATCCGATACTGGGTACTAGTCACTTTTCAGAGGAATTGTGATGGGTCCGGCTTGACAGAGCTTACGTGGCGGGCGGGCGGGCTCGGGCTCATCCGGGCGTCTCCATCTCCGCCCCAGATTTGGGCGGGGTATGAGGAGTGCCGGTGAGTCCGGGCGTTTGGGCCGAAAATTGTCGCCCGGTTGGGTGGTGTGTTCTTTTGTCACGGGATTGATCGGACAGCCCGCTTGGGTGTTTGGGGTGGGTATGGGGGGTCCAGCTATAGATGCCCTCTGATAGGATCCATCCAAACGCCCCACCCCTTCCTCTTCCATGGGAGATAAGAGCATCTCTAGCTGATCCCTTAAAGGCCCGACGAACTACGCTTTTCCGGCCGATTTACGGGAAAAATCCGGCCCGATCAGATAACGCAAAACGGCCCGGACCATAAAAAGTTTACGGGAGGCCCGTAAACCGCCCGAGCATCCAGTATATAGGCCGGCACCCGGCC